CAAACTCTGGTAAAGTTGTTTTGAAACTAAACCAGCCATTTGCTGCAGCACTGACATATCGGAGGTGCGGCGTGAGGGATATCCAGAAGGCAGCTTACAATTTCGCCTTCTTCAAAATCAGACTAAGAGAGCACTATCGAGTTTGAAAGCAATGAGCAAGTCTGGCTGCCTGTGATAAAGGAGGCATAAATGCAGGCATAATCATTGCGCAAAGACAAAAAATTTGCGAACACCAGAAGGATCAATCTATATTGAGGTGGCTTTGAGGGGCTCGTCACACACAATATCTAACGCTGAATAGACACTTAAGTCAAAACGAAATTTCACGGGGTAAATTAGTGTTGCAATTCTTCATATTATGTCGTTGTGCATGTTGAGGATAACAGGCGTGGGAGTTGTAGGTTGAAGTGCCCACACCACTCAGCACATCATGCGTCTGGTGCATGCATTCAGAGGGGATCTGCAGGTCAAGGTCAAGCTATCCTATAGGCTAATATGCATGTGGGTCTTTCCTATAAAAGAGCGGTGAGTTGAGCATGGTATTCTACTTCTCCCTAATTGTGTTGACGACCTTCCTTTTGGCTGAGGAATCCAGAGGAGATGGCCGTAAGTTGCATTTAATATTTGACTTCGAATAGCACAAGCGAATAAGTGGTTGATGAACAGTAGGATTTGATGCATTGGTCAATATTTTTATTTTACTCATGCTCAACTTCATAATATGAAGGCGACAGTTGAGTTCGTCCGCATTTTATAACTTTAAAGACCCTAGGCATTCCTCTCTTTTTCCTGCTAGCGCTTGCTAGAGCATGGCGTGCATGTTGCAGAACTGAGGAGGGTAGTCAATGTTCCTCAACTCAAACAGTCAACTGGTAGCGATACGTCAACGCTACAGTCACGTCAAATTAGCAGATATGAGCAAAATTATTCAATCCGTGTATCACTTCCTTTAGTCCCCTCTACAATTCTTGTTAACTTTCACGATGCCTCGGAAATAGTCTAATGATACAATTGACGTGGTGTCCAAGATTGATGAAACCACACATACATATCCACGAATATGCAAGTGGAGATTCAAGAACCAGAGCTCTTACTCACTATTTACATGCCGCTTTAGCTGTGGGCCTCAGTGGATCGGAGGGCAATGTTGCTTCTTACACTTACCTATTGTCAACATGTGCAAATAAGTGTTTACCAAACAGTAGCATTTGAGTAGGTTAATTTTCTCATTGTCATCACGCTCAGTATCCAATTATGATACAGTTGCATTTAGCCGCATATAATAACAATAAAGCTTTCATATATATGCATGCTTTTCTTTCTAATACTTCCTAGGTAATGACGTTCTTGAAGCACAAAACGACACCACAGTCACATCGGGTCAGCAACACCAAGTAGATTCGTCGACTCCATGTTCCACTTCTTGTTCTGCACCATTTACAATTTCTACTGACTTAGCAGGAACATTCCAGATGACATTCAAGCGCGGTGAATAGTTACTCACACAAATACGCATATCCATGCGAAAATGTAAACACAGATCCACGCCGATCTACTTATTACTACACCTAGCCGACATGAATGCGCACAAATTGTGCACCTAGTAGTCAAAAGCACCTCATTCAATGAGCACAATTATAGAACATATCCCTTGTAAAAATAATAGGCAATTAAGAGGCACCTATGCGACTGCAATCCAGAAAGTGGGTTTGTCGAAGAAAGGCAAAGCATTCCGGATGGCCACGCATATGACTTCACCAACGTGTAAGAGCTTTGCGCACACACTCTTCTGCATGTCTACCGTCGTTGCTGACGCCAGGTATAGGAGAGCCCACCTCTGTCACAACCAACTTCCACTAAGTCGGTTTTGAAGATGACATCCGCCATGGTAGACATTGGTGCCGGTTGTCAGGTGCAAGTGCGTGACATGTTCATCTGCAATTCGCTGGGTGCATCATACTTGGATTTGCACCTCGTACAAACACTTTGGCATTTGTCCTATGAGCGTTGACGCAGACCCCTGACAGGGTAACCTTAACCTTAACCACACCCGCGGTCACAATCGCAACCCTAAACACGCCGTGTAAATCCATGTAGATTAATTCCACACGCTTCACAATTTGCTTGACACAAGCGTTCATGACCATGCCAAGTTGGCAACAAGTACGAATTTCGCCCTCACCAAAGACTCTTCATCACTCGCAGCTCCTTCGCCTGTACGTTTGCCCTGTAAAGGGGCTGCATAAGCAGCACAACTTAAACTGTGGTAGACTATACCAACTCTCATTAATGGAATGCTTCTGCCTGCTGCTTGATTTGAACAGCCACATGGAAACTTGAATAGTGAAGAGCATTTAGGCCAAAAGTCCCAACTTATCCACTCAATTGTTCAATTTCAATTGCGCTGCCGTGAGAGCAGTTCACTCCTCTGTGATAAGATGAGGTAGAACGTTAAAACAAAAATTGCTACAAGTTTTAAGTAGGCTCAAAATGGACACGCAAAGAGGTTCATCGCTTACAACGTGGCTTATCCGGCAGAACCACTACAGCAACGCTAAAGTCGATGGTCTTAGTAAAGAGGGTGTCCGATTACAGTGTGCAATAAATATGAGAATCGGAGAATATTGGCACAGGATGGATGGGTGGATGAAGAGTAGGGTGCCCTCGTACCACCTGTCGCATCATCATCTAACGCACATTGAGCTCGGAGTAATTATGTGCAGCGGCATGAATTCGTTCATGCTAACTTGAGGCTACTCAATTGATTTGGCCTATTTGCATATCGAGTCATAATGTAGAGTGGTAACTAAAGCTTAGAATGAATCATGGTCCTTTAATTTTACCTCGACATGCAAGCACGCATCTTGATCATAAAAATCATGCCTTAATTCTGTGAAGGTACGGCTATGCAGTTGCCATATTTCACCTAAATTGTCTTTAATAGCATACAACCAAATATTTGACAAACGAGGTAGACCAGTGGGAGTGAATCTGACCGCTTGTGCTAGCCTATGCACAATGGGGGGAAAGTTAACACTCACAGACCCATACATCATGACGCGTTAATCCCGATGGCGCCAGGTCACCTAAAAAAGGGGGGTGAAGTTGATACTGCTGGCATTTTGCCAATTCCACTAACGCCAGTTGTCATGCCTGCGCCCACTTGAATGGGCTATTTTCGGACTACTGAGCCACTGGCGGAGTAATGGCATTCTGAGTCTGACATTTTGCATTGCCATTTAGGCAACGTTAAATGATGAATGCTGTGGACTACACTGCAGAAACCAGAGTAGTGCCATGTTGACGAAGTGCCCAAGACGAAGGCAAGTAGTGGGAGATTTTGTCGTCATTAAAGATGTACGGTATTAGAGTCAGTAAGTGTAGTCCATTAGAGTAGGGCATTATTCAGACGCTGAGTCGCGGCATTGCTCGAGTGGCTGTCACTGAAATGCTGAAATGATCATCATATCTACAATCCATTAGAAGTTCACTAATCCTCAGGTGATGCCGGGAATGTCATGATAGAGCTAATTTGTGGTGCAGGAAGTGGTTTTATGTGTATCTAATTTGGTGAATTTAAAATTGGTGCGATAGCGATGTGTAATTTAATGGCAAATATAGGCCGAAAGACGAATTCATCATTAGCCACGGCAGTTCTGCTAACCCATCAACACTGACGAATGAGGCACTATTGATTAGCATCCAATTTACTGCCACTGCATTTACCCTATCCTTCATTATCTCCTTCCTCCTCTTATAACATATGCTGCTCCAGTTCTCCTCAACTGCAAGGCTTGCACTGTCACCTACAATATGGCATATGCGTCGATTTCTCCATTTCTATTTCAACTCCAAGAGCGCGAATATTGTTGCTTAAAGAGGATGGGCGTACTTGGTTGTCGAAACTACAGCCTGTCTACTTGTGCTTATTT